GGGGGAGGGGGGGAACGGTACGGTCCTGGGGTGCAGCGCCTTAATGTCGCATTCTCGGAGCCGGGGCACTCCCGCGGGGAGGGAGGTGCCGCACTCGTCGCCCTTCGGCTCCGATGCCGGGCAGGGCCGGGGGACGGTGCAAGGCACGCGGGGAGCGCGCACCCTCCGCCCCCGCTCCCGCGCAGCACGCAGACACGCGCCCACGCCGGCTCGGCACCTCCGCCACCGCACACGCACAAGCGCACACACACACAGAGCCTGGGCCATGGCAACTCCGCAGCTCGCGCACAGGAGCGCGGCGTTCTGCAAAACCAGGTTATTTCTAGGTTATCGTTTGTTCTCTCCGCAGGATTCGGGCAGCCCGGCAGCGCGTAGTGACCGCGCCGTGACCTCCTCCCATCGCGGACCCCCTGCGCAGCGAGTGGAGCCGGGCACGGTGTGCGTCCCGCTGGGGGAACTTGCAGCCCTGCCAAACCCGGCCAGGGGCATCTCGGGTTTTGTAGATTCGCACTCACTGCAAAGCCGGGACGAGGGGCGGCTGAGGAAAATGGGATTGTTTAGTCAGGAGAACAGAAGGCTCAGGGGAGACCTTACCGCTCTCTACAACTGCCTGAAGGGAGGTTGTGGAAGAGTGGGAGGTGGCCTCTTCTCCCATGTAACAGCAGTAGGGCAAGAGGAATGCCCTCAAGTTGTGCCAAGGGTTGATTCAGGTTGAATCTTAGGGAAAAATTTCTTCTCTCCTTTTCTCCTGCACCCCAGGGAGATGGTGGAGTCACTGTCCCTGGAGGCATACAGGAACCGTGTGGATTTGGCACTGAGGGATGTGGTCAGTGGGCATGGGTTGGTGGTTGGACTACATGATCTTAGTGGTCTTTTCCAACCTTTATGATTCTATGAAGGCCAGCCTATTATATCCCATAAACAACGGTGGCATCTGTGCCATAAATTGGGAAGAATCTTTATAGATTAATAAATTCTAAGATCATAATGACAAGACCTTGAGCCAAAAGCCCTTAACCTGTCACCCCATAACTCCTGTTTCTTTGCAGCCCTTCCTGTGGAATGACATCTAACAGTGCTGACCTAAAGACATCTGTAAAGAAGAGGCCATCACCTCTCTTGATAAATTAATTCTGTCATTTGCTAAGATGTGAATCAGATTCAGTACAAATTTGTCTCACGCAGGTTGCCAGCCTTTGGTGAGGCTGCCCAGAGAAGCTGTGGTGCCCCATTCTTGGAGGCACTGAAGGCAAGGTGAGATGGGGCCCTGGGCAGCTGAGCTGGTAGGGGGCAGCCCTGCCCACAGCAGGAGACTGGAACTGGATGATCTTTGAGGTTCTTTCAACCTAAGCCATTCTGTGATTCTGTGATTCTTTTCATGTCTTCATCAAATTAAGTACTCCTGGCATTGCTGATATTCCCTCACACACATACGCTAATGTGTGCACACTGCAATAGCAAACCCCTGGAGGCAAAGCAGCAAGGCTGTCCCAAGAGGCTGCCTCCCTGTGGAGCCATCCACATTACATCTTCAGTTCTTTTTGCCTGAGCACGTGAGCCGCTTTTTTCTCCTGTGTGGCTGATCATGCCTTGCAATAAATCACAATGTGTGCTCTCCATTCACACAAGTGGCCTGCCCTGCAGTTTGTCACCTGCAAACTTACAGCACATTATTTTCTTTCAGAAAATTGATTATTGTTACACCAAGAACAGATCTCCCTAGGATCCCATCAGGAACAGAGGGCACACTGATTTTCCATAACATTATTTTTAATCACCATTTCAATCCTAAATTAATGTCATTCTCAGCTACATCTGCAATAGGTGTCAAATGCTGTTTCATGTGAAATCACTCCTTCAGAGTTGATGGAAGCCCCATCTCTGGAGATACTCCAGGTGAGGCAGGATGGGGCTCTGAGCACCCTCATCTGCTGTAGGTGTCCCCATCTACTGCAGGGGAGCTGGACTAGATGTCCTCTAGGGCTGCCTTCCAACTCAAACAATTCTATGATTCTGTGAGAGCTGAGTTCCAGCTCTTGTGCCCAAACTGTAAAGATCTGGAGCATTGCTGGCTGCCATTTAACCTAACCAAAGCTGTTCTTCAGATTTGGTCTATTGAACAATCTTGCAATTTTGATTGTAATGCCTTTGTTGCAGTCTTCTCTGTGAGGAAAGCAGAGATGCTTTTGCTTCATGGTGTGAAGATGGAGTAATAAAGGCTTGGGAAACACTAAGACACTGAAGCATTCAAGTTCCATGTTAAGAAAAGCTATGAAAATAACCTTTTTTTCAGGCTGGGGACTTAATGTGGGGAAATAAATAAAGCCATATATTGAACAATGAGGATTAAGCTAAATAAGCCTTTCTAAATCCTTCCTCTGTACTCAGCAAGGCGTGGAAAAGAGTTTCAACATCTTTTGTAAAAAGGAAAAAAAATAAAAATGCAAGAAATAGTTCATGATCAAGTAATTATAGACAACACTGCAATGTAGGTGCACTGATGCTGTTTAGCTTTAATAAAGAACATCTTTTCTGATGCTTTTAAAGACTTCATCTGAGATCCTATCAAAGCTTTTCATACAAGATGCATATAAGGTTTCAATAAGATATATACATAGTTATCTTCTGCAAATCCTCTTCTTTCCTGCCAGCAGCACTCAGGAATTTCTCCTTTATGCCTAGCAGACGCAGGCAGTGCCTCCTTTTAGATGAGAGGCCTAGCAGAGAATTGCAGCAGACTTTTTTGAAAAATTATGTCAGACACAGCCTCCTTCCCAGCCAGCTCCTCTTTATTTTTCCTTTCCCTAGAAATCCCCAGAACATCTCACTACCATAAAATCAGTACAGTGCATCCCCTTGGAAGACATCCTTTAATACTGCACACATCCTTTATCTGCTGTGCAAAAATATTTTCTATTCTAATTTGGTGGTCAACAGTAGGCACTGTGTCTGTTTGTTCCTTGTTGGCTAAAACATCAGTTCTCAAGAGCAGTAAACCTTGCTCCCTTTGCTTGAAAATCAAATGCCACTTTCTCCTTGGCACATTATCCAGTCACGTCAGCATTTTAGTCACACGAGCCGTTCAGCTGTATTTCAGTAAACAGTTCTGTCCAATGTCTTCCTGTTAAATAATACTTTCCAGTTCCTTCCAGGTATTATCAAGTCTTCTCATAGTGTGCGCAGAGTTAACGCATTTTATTCCGTATGTATTCCTTCAATGTTCATGAATTTCAGGTCCAGATATCTGTGCTGCTGTTTTTCCCTTGACCACTTTCACTTCCACAGCAAGTTGAATACCTTCAGAGGATGTGCGAATTCAAGAAGACTGCTTTTCCCTTTCCACCAAGCAATGAGCTCTGCAGCTGGTCCTTCTTCACCCTGGAAGCCAGCCTGACGCAACATGAAGCATGCCACGCTGCCTATCAAACTACAGCTCCATCCTGGGTCTTCTCTCTTCCTTCCTCTTGCTTTTGAAGACAGGAAAAATTGCATATGCATACCTAATCGTTTTCCTTTGTAAATGGAAGTGGAAGAACTGCAATGCTCTAATTCAGACCCAGCTACTGCTGCTGGAGCCAGCCATCAGCAAGCTGGCAGAGAAAAGAAGCTCCAGCACCCCCCTCTTCTTCCTCCCAAGGACTTCACTTTCCTTCAGGACAGCTTGAATTGCGAGTTTGGGTTTTATGGGTGCTTCACATGGTTTGAAGGAAAGGGGAAAAAAAGTGGCTCTGAACTCTCACGATTTCTTAATACTCAAGAGTATTAAGAAACAGAGGAACGTCTGGTTGTTGTATGGCTGCTGTATTGGACTGTGTGAAAACTCTTTATTTCTCATTTTCAAAGAGTCTTAGGAGACCAAAATCAGATGGAATATTGATTTGTGACTTAGACTTCTAATTTTTCCAGTTGTCCGAGATATTCACCCTCTTCTTTGCTGAGAAGCCCAAAGTCTACAGTCCATTCCTCAAAGGGTAGCCCTGACCTCCCACTGAAGAAAGTCTCTGCACTGTGAATCAGACATGTGATCAACTCCTTCATCCTCCAAACTTGAAGCCAGACACTAGTACAATTCCAGTGAGCAGAGAAAAAGGAAAGGAACAAGGAAAAAAGGAAAAAAAAAGGAAGTAGGTGGCCTAAATGGACAATAACTTACATGGAGCAAGCTGGTGATGCTATGACATTCAGTGACTGCTCTTGAACTGAACATAAGCATGTTTGTCTAGCAAATATTCAGTGCAGGCTAGTAGTTTTGCTGGCATAGAGGGAAACAGTTCAGTTGCATGTAACTGGAATCTCA